CACCAGGGCCCATCCCTGGGCTGTCAGGCCCATGCCTGGGGCACTCACCCCACAGGAGCAGTGCCACCTTCCCGGCCATCCCGGTGTCCCCAGCCATGTGGACTGGCTGTCCCTGGCTGCTGTGGCCACCGCTCCCCTGGCTGGCGGCTCTTCGGATGAAGGGGAAGGAAGCGAGGTCACGTCTCATCCCCATGTGTAGGTGGCCCATGGTGGATGTAGGGTGGCCACAAGCTGGACACAGCCTGTGAGCAGGGTGAGGACAGGATGGGGACTAGTCTGGGTGGCACACAGTGGTACATGGGTTCCCCGGAGTGGGGGGCTCAGGGGGTTTGGGGAGCCAGGGAAGGGTGTCCAGGGGAATGGGGAGTTCCCAGGGATGGGGGCAAGCAGGGATGGCAATCCCAGGGAACGTGTGCTCCAGGGATTTGGGGTCATGGAATGGGGGTCTTAAGGATGAGGGTTCCAGGAGAATGGGGGCCCTTGGAAGAACCAAGGTCCTGGAAGAAAGAGGGTTGTAGGGAATGGAATGAATGGGAGAGGGTTTCTTGAGAATGTGGTCCTGGGCCCTGGAGATCCTGGGGAATGTGAGTACTGGGATGAGCGTTCCAGAGAGGGTGGGATGTAAGGATGGGGTTCCTATGTTTTGGTTTCCAGGGGAGTGGTGGTCCCAGGGATGGGCAGTGCCTGGGTGGGTACCGGGGTCGCAGGTCCTTCACACAGTGCCTGAGATTTTGAGGTGACCCAGAGCCCAGCACAGCCCCCACCCTGGGGCACCCCTTGGATATCCGGGGAGGCTCAGGGTCTGTGCCGCAGACACCCCTGGGCTTTTTCCTGTCCCCCCTCATTTCCTGGCTCAGCAATCTCAAGCAACACTTGATGCCAAATTTGTTCAGACGAAGTTACACCTCCATAGAATAAAGCCAAAAAATCTTCTCCCACAGCACTTTTTCCCAAATAAATCTCTGCAAAAATCAAACTGACAAGTTATAAAATGCTTTGGTTTATAGAATAGTTGCTCTCCCAACAAATCGCTTACAAAAAAACCACAAACAAATCAAACAGAAATGAGACTGTTTGGTTCCCTTTAGGAGCTCCTTAGTGCATCACACAGCAGTGTTTGCTTGTGGATAGCACAGAGTGTGGAATCTCCCTGAGTGTCCGACAGCTCCATGGGATTGTTCTGTGCTTGCTGGGCAGCAACCCAGCCTATAAGGAAGCCTTTTGTGGGGCCATATATAGGAATTCTTCCCATTTCTCTCACCCTGGAACTCAACTGGCTTCCCATGGATTCTTCTTCCAAAGGGGAGAAGCTCTGTCCATCCTTGGAACAGTGCCCTGGAATCTGTGGAAATGCCCGTGTGTGCCTCAGGGTCTGATTCCCTGGTAAATCCACTCCAGCATGTCCTGAATTCCCCTGCCTGGGCACTGCCTGCTTCTGCTGTGACACCCCTGTTCCCCAGGCGCTCGTGAACAGCCCCTGCTCAGTATTTCCACACTTTTTCCTCTCTTCTGGTGTGCACATCCAGATCACCAACATTCTTTCCAGGAGGTTCCAAAGGGCTGCAGTTTTTGTTCAAGAAGGAGGGTCCAGGTCAGGTTGTTGAGCAGATTGGGGTGGGATTTGCAGCAGTTTTGGGGCTGTCTCAGCCCCTTGCTGCAAGGGACAAAATGATCAATTGCTGCATTTCCGGACTGGTTCCTGTGGCAGGCACATCCTTCTCTCTCTCAAGACTTTTTTCATAGAGGAGCACAGAGAGAAGAAAGAGAAAATAATTTCAATTTCTGCTCCTTGTTTTCCCCATATGGAATGTGTTTGGAGAATTGTTGACCTGGGGTGATTGCTTGATTTGATTCTGGTGAGGATTGTTTGAGCCCGATGGCCAATCCTACCCACCTGTGGCTGGACTCTGGCAAGAGTGTCACGAGTTGTCAGCTGGTTAGAGATAGTAGTTAGAATAAGTAGGTTTGTAGTTTTAGTATCTCCTTTAAATAGTATATTAATGTATTATAGTAGAGTTATAATAAAGAAATTGTTCAGCCCTCTGAACTGGAGTCAGACATCATCATTTCTTCCCACCAGCTTCACCTGCATTTACAATAGGTTCCCTCTCAGCTGCCCCTGCAGGGGGGGATTCCAGCCAGCCCTGCTCTGAAAACCATCAAAGGCCCTCGCAGAGCCATTGCTTGGGCTCCCTTTGGGTTTTGTGCTTCTTGCAGGGCTGAACAAACCACAGCCAGGCCATTTCCCCCACAGAATTCTCACCTCTGCAGCAGCTCTAAAGCTGCCAGAATCAAAGCCAGGGTGGCTGGGAGGACCCTCAGGTCCTGGCTGCCACCTGGGGCTGGCCAGAGTAGGGCTGGGCCGTGGCCACCCCTGTGCAGTGGGGCTGGGCCATGGCTGGGCTCCAGCCTTGGACTGACGGTGTGCCCAGGATGTGCCACCCCTGGGACAGGCATCCGGCTAGGAATGTGCAGGGACATTTCTGGAAGTGCCACGCACTGGACAGGACCCCTCATGCCAGGATGTGTCACCCCTGGACTGGATTTCCCCAAAACAAGGACCTCCCAGGACCGTACTCCCCTGGTTTTTCCCCAGGACAGAATCCCCTCCCCTTTCTCATTGGACTCTCAGCACAAACAGCCTCTTCCTTCTTGTCCAGGAAAAAGACAGTGAAAATGTTGAGGGGCACAGCCCAACACTCCCATCTTTACAGCCTCCCCACCCTTTCCTGCACCTCCCACACCCCATTTTCCCCCTCCCTTGGGTCCCCACAACCCAATCCCTGCTCAGGTGCTCCCCAGGATTGCTGAGCCAGGAACCAGTTCTGAGGGGACATGGCAAAAAATTGAGGAAAATAAGGGAGAAAGAGAAATAAAGAGATGGAAAAGTCAAGGGCAGGGGAGGGCACAGTGGCAGAGCTACCCAGGACACCCATGTGATGCATGCCCAGGAAACGAGCAATCCAGGGTGGGGGCTGTGTGTGGCCCTGAGTCACCCCCAAATCTGAGGCATCCAGAGAAGGAGCTGTGACCCCCGTGCCCACCCAGGCACTGCCCATCCCTGGCACCCCCATTCCCCTGGGTCCCCAACCATGGCATCCCCATTCCTTTGGGATCCCTAGGAAATGCATCCCAGTACTCACATTCCCCAGAATCTCCATGTCCAAGGGCCCCATTCCCAAGGAATGCTCTCCTGATTACTCCATCCCCTACAACCCTCCTTCCCCCAGGATCTTGATTGTCCCAGGAAGCCCTCTCCCACAGGGTCCCCCATTCCCCCAGCAACCCCATCCCATGACCCCAAATCCCTGGAGCCCACTCTCCTTTTGCTGAGTCCCCCGCAGTCATGGGGTCCCCCATTCCCCTGGACACCCAACCCCGGCTGCCTAAACCCTCGGAACCCTCAGTCCTGGGAACTCCATGTCCCACTGTGTGCCACCCAGACTTGTCCCCATCCTGTCCCCACCCTGCTCACAGCCTGTGCCCAGCTTGTGGCCACCCTGCCCACAGCATGGGCCACCTACACGTGGAGAAATGACGTGGCCTTGCTTCCTTCCCCTTCATCCGAAGAGCCGCCAGCCAGGGGAGCGGTGGCCACAGCAGCCAGGGACAGCCAGTCCACATGGCTGGGGACACCGGGATGGCCGGGAAGGTGGCACTGCTCCTGTGGGGTGAGTGCCCCAGGCATGGGCCTGACAGCTCAGAGATGGGCCCTGGTGAGGCAGAGACTGGTGGGGAGGGGGCACAGGGGGGCTGCGGGGTCCCCTGAGGTCCCCAAGGCCAGCAGTGCCAGTCCCTGTTGCCCACAGTGGAGCTTGGTGTGACTGGGGATGTTGGGTGGCTTTGGGGACAGGAAGAGGGGGCAGGAATTTGTGGATGGGGATGTGGGGACAGGAATGTGGGGACTGGCACCTTTGGGCTCAGGGAGCTCTGGGCGCAGGGACAAGGGAACTGGGATGCAGGGACAGAAGGGGACAAGAAGGCTGAGGATGTGCATGTGGGGATGGGATCAGGAGCTGGTGGGGGTGACCTGGGCCAGCAAGGGGTGTGTCCATGGTGTCCCTGTGCCTGGGGTGTCCACAGTGTCCCCATGTTCTGCCTCAGCCCAGGGTGGCCTCAGTGTCCCTGTTCCCAAGGCGTCCGTGCCACACGGATGTGGTGCAGGGGTGGCTGTGACACAGACATGTCCCCTGGCCTCTCAAAATCTTTTGGGTGGCATTCCTACACACTTTCTCACAATAATGGCTTTCTCATGGGACAGTTTGGGGATAGCCCCCATACAGCATGCTGCTGTGTCTCTGTCCCCACAGTGCCAAGTGCCACACCCACTCAGCCCTGTCCCTTCTCCCTTCCAGCCCAGACCCTTGGCCTCACTGGTGAGTCCTCAGGGGATGCCATATCCCCTCACCCCTCTGTCGCCAGCCATTTGTTGGCCCTGGCAGGCTGGTATCCCCTGTCACCCACAGGTGCCCAGACCACCCAGCTCCTCGTGGATCCCCCCTGGAGGCCGGCAGTGCTGTGGGACCGGGTGACACTGACCTGCCAGGGCTCGGGGACCACCGGTGCCACCACCTGGTACAAGGATGGGCAGCACTGGGGACAGCAGGGACGAGACCGAATCACTGTTACCGAGAGTGGCACCTACACGTGTGACAGACCTGGCAGTGGGCTCAGCCCCCCCGTGAGAGTCTTAGATGGTGAGGGGAGATCTTAAATTATCAGGGTGGCCCTTGATAGGTCTGGGTGGGCTCCACTCCATGGGTGGCCCCACACCCCTCGTGTGGCGAGAGCCTGTCCCCTGCACACAGGGACATCCCAGTGCATGCCAGTGCACCCAGATGTCTCTGGTGCCAGGGGGACCCACCTTGGATGTGTCTGGACCCCCGCAGTGTGATGGGACCCTCCTGTTCCACAGACTGGCTGGTGCTGCAGGTGCCAGCACAGGCACTGCTGGAAGGGGACACGCTGACACTGCGCTGCCGGGGCTGGCAGGACAATCCAGTCACTGAGGTCCGATTTTACCGTGATGTGCCGGATCTGGGGGCAGCCCTCAGGGGGACCGAGCTGTCCCTGTCCCCTCTGCAGCTGAACCACAGTGGCAGTTACCACTGTGAAGGCTTGGTGGGGTCATGGCTGAGAAGGTCAGCAGCAGTGACTGTGACAGTGCACGGTGAGCACCCCCACAGCTGGAACTCCATTATCCTGACACCCCCAATGCCACTTACCAGCAGACTCAGAGTTACCATCCTCACCTCTCCTCTCCTGCCCTGAGCTCTTCTTGTTGCTGGTGCTGACTCTCAGCTGCCAGCCCCTTGCAGCTCCCAGCCCCCTTCCTGCACGTGTTGTACCAGGATGGGCAGGTGGTGGGGGGCCTGCAGGGTTCCCTACAGCTGCTGGTGCCCGCCATGGGGGTTGCCTACTCAGGGAATTGCAGCTGCAAGGTGCGCTCCGAGGGGGGGCTGTGCAGAAGAGCAGCACCCATCTCGGCGTCACGGTGCGCAGTGAGTGCGGGGATGGGCACAGGGAGCCGCCACAGCCTCCCCGGGTCCCTGCCTGGGCACATCCACGTCCCCCAGACACCATTCTTGGGTCCCCCCACCTCTGCCCTCTGTTCCCTCACCCCTCTGTGTGGTGACCCCATCCCTGGCATCCCCAATACCACCCATCCCCCCTTGTCCCTATTTGCGGTGCAGAGGATCAGAAATGGGACATCACACCATGATCAATGTGATCAAGAGAAGCCAAATTTATTATACAGAAATCTGTATTTATAATATATTCTAATGTCCCCATCGCTCTAGCTAATACGTGATTGACCAATCCTAACTGTCCATGCATCTAAGATTAACTGCTAATTGGATCACCTAATTGTACACATGTATTGCTGTGGTCATCTGGCCCGCCCATCGTTCTCTTTTATTCACTTTCTCGAACTTTGCTGACAGCTTGCTGGTTCTTGCTGACTCTTCTTCTGTCTTCAAGGATTCATTGTCCTTGGTCCTTGAACCGGTTACTTTGTTACTGGATTGTGAATCTGCTGAATGTGGCCATTGTCCTGCAAAAATTCCTCAACACCTATCCCCCCACACGGCCTGCCAGCCCCTCCCTGTGACCTCAGCTCTGTCTTTGTCCCCGCAGTGCCCGTGGCCAATGCCACCATCACCCCCGGTCCCCTGGGACACCAGGTACATGCAGGTGACCCCGTGACCCTGCACTGCTCGGTGCAGGTGGGCTCAGCCCCTGTCACCTTCACCTGGCTGCACAACGGGCAGGAGGTGGCCCAGGGTCCCCTCCTGGAGCTTGGGGATGTTGATGTGGGACACTCGGGCACCTACCAGTGCATGGCCACCAACCAGCTGGGACAGGACGGGCACCGCATGTTCCGGGCACTCAGCCCAGAGCTGACCCTGGAGGTGACACCGCAGGGACACAGGAACACAGGTGGGGTCACACGGGGTCACCAGGGAGTGCAGCACCCTTGGGGTGATGGGTGATCCTGATGTGTCCCCCTCTGTTTCTTGCAGTGGCTGCAGGGGTCGGTGGGGCCCTTTTGTTCCTGGTCCTGCTTGTGGGTGTCATTGTGGCCTGGCACCGGTGGCACCAAGTGGGTGGGTGACAATGGGGGATGGGGGCCCCAGGGAGCTGTAGAGGCCTCCAGACCTGGGGAGCAATAGGGCAGCACCAACAGCCCCAGAACTGTGATCTTGGCTGGGAGCCCTCTATGCTTTTGGGAGGTGCTGGAGGGTCCTGCAGGGATGTTTGGGCTTCTTTCAGGGGGCCTGGAGGTTTTTGGGGGGTGGCTGTCCCTACCAAGCCTTGGGTCCTTGAGGCTGAGTTCGTCAGGGGCACAGGGGATGTTCATGAATTCTGGTGGGCTTGAGGGTACTGAGAGGAATTGAGGTTTCCATGGGGGTTCAGGAATCCTGAGAGGGGTGAGGGACCTGGGACCCCACAGTCTCCTTTCTCCTCTTTCTTCTGCAGGTGCCAGGAAGCACCAGGAAAGGTGAGTGGGGGTCTCCAACCATGAGTGCCCTTTTACCCCCACCCCACAACTCTCCATCCCTTCCCACACATCTCCTTTGTTCCCTCAGGGCCCCTCTGGATCCCCCAGCTCCCCCAGAGGAGGGGGAGGTGCTGTACACCCACATTGTTATCACCCAGAGGACAGGGGGTGAGTAAGGGGGGGCACACACACAGGGACACGTCACCCACGAGTGTCACCCCAACCAGATGCCACAGCCCATGTCTCTCGCAGCGTCCCCCCGTGCCACCACACTCCAGGATCCCCAGGTGACCTACGCGGAGCTGCGGAGACCACAGGGGTGACCTCAGGAACCCAGTGACAATGACAGGAATGTGATATGACATGGGAGGAAACTGGGGGGCACTGGGTGTCCCCATACATGTGTACCCACACGTGAATGTGCTGCCACTAAAAACAGCCCCTCTCCCTCCCCGTGGAAGCACAAAGATCCCAAAGGGCAGAGAGAAGAACAATTTCCTGAAACAGCAATGAGAAAGAATAAAACCAACAGCAACAGCAACGAGGTTCAGAATCCAAAGGGTCACAAAAGGAACAATTTCCAGGGAAAGCACTGACAAGGAACGAACCCTGGACATTTCCCCCAGCATGCTTCCTCCACCAGAGAAACCTGGCAGGGCCCTGGACCTTCCTTGCTCTGATGGCCAAAGCAGCCTTCAGGAGGCCCTGGATTCTCTTGTCCCCTGTCCCAAACCCCTCCTCTGCTGTGTTCCCCCACATAATGATGTCAGAAAGGCCCTGTGAATCTTCTAGAGCCTTCCATTTTTCCAGGAATGAGTCCATGACACAAGGTGAGGCTGAGGTTCCAGTCATTTCCAGGAGCTCTGGACACCCCTCCAGGTCAAGGAAAACTGTGTCCTGCTCCCTGCTGCTAAAGGCATGGTATCCTGCTTTAAGGATGTCTACCAAGGAAGGTGGCAACCTCCCTTGGAATGGAAAATATGACCCCCTTCCTTCCAAAGTATTGTAACTTTGGAAATTATGGGTCTTTCAGGCAAAGATATGGGAAAAGGAATAACAGTTCTTTACTGGGATATATTTGGCAAGAGAAACAAACAACAAGAATGGCAGCAGCAGCAAAGAGAACCACAAAGCCAGTCCCAGCCATCTCTTGGCCAAAGGCACTTTCCCTTTCCATGCAGTTTCGGGCACAGCCAGCAGGGGCGCTGCTGGCTCCCAGCCGGGCAGGGCAGGTGCGATGATTGCCCCGCGGCTGCAGGGGGCGCTGTGTCGCGAGTTTCAGCCGTCTCCCTGCGTGTGGTAATGGCGTACAGAGCCGGTGGAAATGGATGGAGAAAAGACTTCCTTTACAAACTCACTGAGGGAGACAACCCCAGTGCCCCTCTGACAGTAAAAGGAGCTGTAGGAGGAACCCTGGAGTAGCCAGCTGGGAATGCAGGGATGAGAAAAGTCCCAGAGTGGTAGATGAGATGTATCATAAACTCCACAGCTGTTGCATGAGCCGCAGGGCACCCCACCAGGGCAGGGGGTGTGGGGACTACCGTGTAGCAAAAAACCTTTGCTACAGTCTGGGACAGTGTTGGAGAAACTGCAGGGGCTGGGCAGCTGCAGCCTGGCTCCAAACAGACCAGGGAAAAGGCTCCCTGGGAGGGGAAAGTGCTTGGGTTTCTGGGGTGTGACAAACGACTGCTCACTTTTAAAATTTCAAAGGTTTACTATACTTTAACAAAAATTACAACAAAGGACTGAAAAAGGAAAAGCTATTCAGCACTAGCAGTCTCTGTGACTACCAGCTACATGCTCCTCTACAAAATGGATGCTTTTTCTTTTGTACCCTTAGCCCTGCCCAAAGTTTTGTCAGTCAACTCTTTTTCTGCCGTCTATTGGTGGAGATTATTTTCTTACATCTTGATTGGAGCTCACATGTTGTTGCGCTTGTCTTCCTGGAAACAAGCCAGCCTCCTCTAAATGTCTTGACTACCAAGGCTATTACAGGGTGGGGGGAAAGAGAACTATGGGATGACATATTACAATAACATTCTACATAATATCTATCTCTTAATTGTGAGAGCCAATTATTACATTACTTATCTAGAACACCAGGGACCCCCACAGACTGTGGGGGAATCCCCGGAGCCCCTCGTGCCCCTCCTTCCTCCCTGCAGCGCTGTTCCTCTCGCAGCCTCCCGCTCCTCTTGGCTGCTGCAATTCCATCTCTGCCTTCGCTTGGATTTGCCCTTCCCAGCAATCGGCAGCCCCAGCCCCTCCCCAGTTCCCCCGCCTATTTCGGGACTCCCCGCGAGTGCCAGGAGCTGTTGGTCCCGTTGCCATGGCACAGCCAGTCCTGACACATCGTGACAGTGGCCTCAACACGCTGTCACAGCCGCTCGGGACACATTGCCACCCTCGGTCCCCACAGCCCAGCATAGTCCTGGCCCTTGCAGCAGGATGGCGGCTGTGACCCGGGGCAGTGACCCGAGGCCAGGACTCCGTTCCCCCAGTGCTGGGGGCTCCTTCCCAGGGTCCCCGGTCCACTCTGCCCTCCCCAGGGCCGGGTCTGGCCGAGGCTCTGCAGAAGATCCAGGGCTCAGATGTCACTCAGGGAGCTCCAGGTGTGAGGCTTTGGGTGCCGGGGGCACCGGGGGGTACTGTGCAGGGCTGTGGATGGGGGGTTTAGGAACCGGGACAGTGTGCAGGGGCACCAGGGGCAGTGGGTAGGGCTGGGCGGGGATGGGCTGAGTGGCTGGGTTGGGCCCAAAGGGACTCGGCAGCTGTGGGATCGGTGTCCATGGTGACGGGGCAGCACCACCAAAGATCCCCGAGCCCTTGGCCGGTGTCACCAAGAGGGGACAAAGAGGGAGCAGTAGCTTCTTCC